TTGTGTAGCATTTTAGCAAGCATGTAGAATCTTTCAGTTCAAGTAGATTTCCTTTACTGCCCACGTGAAGATGCCCTGTTTTGACAGTTTCTGTTTTATAGTAAAACCATCTGTCATCCATCCTCAAACAAACCATGTTCTTTCTGGTCATAAAACTATTTGAATAATTATGTATTGTGTGAAATCCAGTCTTCATAATGTAGGCTAGTCTCTATAGCCATTTAGTTAATGGTAATCAAATGTCATATGCACTTAAGTGATGTGTTTTAATTTTGTTTTTTATGCTTCACCAGCCTTAGGTTGACTCTTTTCTACTGTGCCTCCACAGATGTTTCTGGCCAACCCCTGAGTGGTAGTTTCAAAGGCTTATTCACATTGTTCTACGTGTTCTGGAAAATGCCGAGGCATATTTGGATGATGTGGTAGTATTTAGTGCCACCTGGCCAGAGTGCTTTCAGAACATTAGGAGTCTGTTTGAACGATTTAAGTCTGCCAACCTGACCTGTCAGAGTGAAATTGCCCAAGCAACGGTTAAGTACCTAGGAAAGGTGGTGGCTACTCTCAGTTTTACAGACTGACTAAAGTGTTTGACTTGAGGGCCGCATTAAGAATGTGTTTTAATACTAGGCTACTTAATATGCATGTATTTGACAATGTCTGTGTAGGTGTTTGTCTTTATATTTTCTTTGGACTGCAGTAGCCTCAGTCTGTCAACGTCATGTCTAGTTTTATGGAAATATAGCTGTGGAAATCTTAAATTGGTGTCTAATTAAGGTTGTGTACTGTTATTTTGAATGGACTTGATTTGTGTGAAATATAGTACTATTTAGGTGATACAATGAAGGCTGTAGCGCAAGGTGGGGGGCTATAACCCAATATTTTTGGGGGGGTTGGGGTCCCTAGATACGGTGCTGTCAAAGTATTCGCACCCCTTTACTTGTTCCACATCTTTGTTACAGCCCAACTTTAAAATTGATTAAATTGAGTCACTGGCCTACACACAATACCCCATGTCAAAGTGGAATAATGTTTTCAGAGATTTTACAAATGAAAAGCTGAAATGTCTTTTTTGGCAAGCTTACATAAGTTCAGTAGTAAAGATGTGCTTAAGTTACACTGAACAAATATACATTCAACATGTAAAGTGTTCCCATGTTTCATGACTGTAAATTAAGAAACACATTTTCAATATGCACAAAAAGCTTATTTTTCTCATGTGTACAAATTTGTTCACATCCCTGTTAGTGAGCATTTCTCCTTAGCAAGATAATCCATCCACCTGTCAGGTATGGCATGTCAAGAAGCTGATTAAACCGTATGATCATTACACAGGTACACCTTGTGCTGGTGATAAAAGGACACTTTAAAATGGGCAGTTTTGTCACATCACAATGCCACAGGTGTCTCAAGTTGAGGGAGTGTGCAATTGGCATGCTTACTGCAGAATTGTCCACCAGAGCTATTGCCAGAGAATGTCATGTTCATTTCTCTACCGTAAGCTGCCTCCAACGTCGTCTTAGATAACTTTGTAGTATTTCATACCGGCCTCAACTGCAGACCACTGTTAACCCCGTTAGCCCAGCACCTCCACATCTGGCTTCTTTGTCTGTGGGGGGGTGCTGAGGAGTATTTCTGTCTACAATAAATCCCTTTTGTGGGGAAAAACTCAGTCTGATTGGCTGGGCCTGGCTGCCAAGTGGGTGGACCTATGGCCTCCAAGGCCCACCCATGGCTGCAGCCCTGCCCAGTCATGTGAAATCCATAAATTAGGGCCTGATTTCCTTTATGAACTGTAACTCAGTAAAATCTTTGAAATTGTTGCATGTTGTGTTTATTTTTGTTTAGTATACAAGGACTCTGTGCAATATTGTTTAACATTAATTTTTTATGACTACCTTATCTCTGTACCCCACACATACAATTATCTGTAAGGTCCCTCAGTCGAGCAGTACATTTCAAACACAGATTCAACCACAAAGACCAGAGGTTTTCCAATGTCTCACAAAGAAGGGCACCTATTGGTAGATGGGTACAAATAAAACAAGCAGACATTGAATATCCCTTTGAGCATGGTGAAGTTATTAATTACACGTTGGATGATGGATCAATACCCAGTCACTACAAAGATACAGGCGTCCTTCCTAACTCAGTTGCAGGAGAGGAAGGAAACCGTTCAGGGATTTCAATGTGAGGCAAATGGTGATTTTAAAACAGTTAAATGGCTGTAAGTCACTCTGGATAAGAGCGTCTGCTAAATGACTAAAATGCTAAATGACTGATCAGCAACTGAGGATGAATCAATATTGTAGTTACTCCGCAATACTAATTAACCTAAATGACAGAGTGAAAAGAAGGAAGCCTGTACAGAATAAAAAAACAGGCCAAATATACGAGTTGCTTACCAAGATGACGTTGAATGTTCCGGAGTGGCATAGTTAGTTTTGACTTAAATCTGCAAGATTTGGAAATGGCTGTCTAGCAATGATCAACAATCAACTTGACAGAGCTGGACAATTTAAAAAAAAAAAAAAAAAAAAAAGAATAATGTGCAAATATTGTACAATCCAGGTGTGAAAAGCTCTTAGGCTTAACCAGAAAGACAGCTGTAATCACTGCCAAAGGTGATTCTAACATGTATTGACTCAGGGGTGTGAAATACTTATTTAAATGAGATATTTCATTTTCAATAAATGTGCTAAAATTTCTAAAAAGATGTGTTGGATGAGATTTGTATTTAATCAATTTTGAATTCAGGCTGAAACACAATTTGGAATAAGTCAAGGGGGTTGAATACTTTCTGAAGGCACTGTATGAACACTTCATAAAACATGAAAACATTGTTCAGAATGACAAGAAATTGGCTTTAAAACGGATTGCTTTATACTCTTCTAAACGTCAACAAAAAATAAGACAAAACTGACTGAAGCATCCTATTAACTTTTCATAGGAATCAAAATCATCTTTGTAGCTTCACTGTAGATTAGAACTAAAGTTATTTGTTCAATTCCAGCATTTCCTTGTAGTCCTTCATTTTCTTCACTTCATGCACTCGTGTTATTTACACACGTTTCTTTTGTCTTTATATGCCTCTATTTCGTCAGAATCCAGGTATTTTTTTGATTTTCCTCTGTGACACTATGTTTTCTGGATTCAATGGTAGTTCTTATTTTGAACCGATTTCTAGTCCTTTTCTCCCGCTTCGGAAGCTGTCCCAATAATGCCAATGGTCCCAACACTGAGCTATAGACTATAAAGTGTCTTTGGTTGTGCTGGCAAGTTCTGTTACAATTGTTCTAGTTTCATTACTCAATTATGACATTTAACAAACTAAACATTAAAATTGTAAAAATCCAAACCGGTCCGGGGATGAATTTACTGGTGTAGCCCACTAGGTATATCTTTAAATAAATATATACAGTTTATACAATTTACCGCCCGGCCCTAAACTGGGGTGTGAGGTGGATGCGCGTGTAAAGCAGGTGCTATATGACGTCACGTCCATTTTCTGCGCCCCAGCCCTCCCAATTAGGGAATTCGATTAATGCCCCGGACCTGCCCCAGTGAACCGGGTTTGATTACGTTCGTTTTTGGAACCAGACTGCCTCCCAGGCGTGAGCCAGGGCCCCCATTTTGGCCGACAGCGAAGTGGGCTCAAAATAAAAGTGATGTAGGTTAAGCAGGTGGAGTAGACTTAATGAGCCGGATTCTAAATTTTCACATGCAAAAGTAAAATATTTTTTTGTTGTTGCACAAAAGCGTTTGATAAAAAGGCTTTATCTGCATTTCCAATTAAAACTAACTTGAAAATTCGAACATATATTTTATGGAAAATAAAAATGTTTTCTGAACGATGTATGCTGCCTTGTTGACAACATCACCGAGCGGTACAGATTACTGTGCGTGCAGTTTGAGGAGGTCCCGCCTCCCTCCCGCTTTTGCCCATTCATGTCACGGGCCATAGCCCGGTGCAATTAGGCCTAATCGAGCTCCCTCAATGTTTGGGCATAGAAAGGTAGGCCTATATAAAGGTACGAGTTCGCACGCGTTTCCCTCTATAAACTAACATCACTGTTTGGTCGGGTTGGAGAGGGCTACCGGTACTTTATTTTGTGTTTGGATAGCAAGCGCCTGGATTCGGGATTTGCAGCAACAGCATTTTCAACACACACAACCAGCCACGAGGTTAGTCAGCTGTTTTCTAAACGTGCCACTTGTTTTTGTCAAGGATGATGACATGGGTTTTCAATTTCTAATGTTTACAGATTTCTCAAGAACTGCATACTAGTTGTATAATGATGGTTTAAGAAATGCAGTATTCGAGTTGCTGTGCATTCTTGGAATTTTGGTTTGGGATGTTTGGGGAGTCTGTTCTGCAGAGAGTAGGCTTTTGAAGAAAAGATGCTGGCAGCGGGCATGTCGGGGTCTGAAGATTGTGGTACCGATTAAGATGGAAGGGTTTTTAAAAGATTCCATAAAATGAACATCCATGCTTGACGATTCCCATACAACATTTTAAAAAATACGCAACTTTAAGCACGAGATGAATCCTGTCTGCGACACAAAATGCGCACACGTTGGGTATGTGTTTTGGAATCCATTTAAAATAATAACCATTGTTTTAACGATTTGTTTGTAACGTTGTCGCGTGCTATGAGATTTCTATCTGCTGTTTCACGATTCTCTAATTAAAATCCATCAACAACATACGTAATCACACCGGCTGTGCAATGGACAAAAATGCACTATCACGGGTTTGGCAATCACCCAGTGGCGGTTGAGGCTATCGAGTTATTGGAACATTAGCACATTTATGGAAACTCCTAATAGGAAAGTATAATGGGGGGAGGGACAGCCTTTCCTACTAGAAATTAAATTGGCCCATTTTTTTAAAGCACATTTGATCGTGATGATGCAAGAAGATCACACATTTCATGGCCAACATTTTCATCCTATGGACACCAGTCATGACCATTACCTGTTCTGTCTTGAACCCCCTCCAGCGAGGATCTGAACATGGTGCAGCTGTCTCCATCCCCAGCCCGGGATGTCTCTCCTTCACCTGCGTGCTCCGAGAAGGGGAGGCAGGGGAGCCCTAAGGCAGGTAGCCCCAAGATGGGCTCCCCTGGTGGGCTGAGTCCTCTCCAGCTGGCCCTGGCAGCCTCCACCACCATCTACCAGGGCTACGAGAGTTACATCGAGGACGGCCTCATCTGCCTCAAGCACAAGATCCGCAACCTGGAGAAAAAGAAGGTAGGATGGATGACAAGATTAGTGGTTTGGTGGGTGTTTAAGTGGATGGAGATATTACCACCCCTTTCAGGGTTTCCTGCATGTCACCATAAAATAAAGACATTGTAAGTGTTTGTATCCACAGATTAAGTTGGAAGACTACAGGAAGCGTTTGAAACATGGGGAATCACTCAATCAAGACCAGATAGTAAGAACAGGATTTCCAATTGTGGTAATAAAAGCAGTACATTTATTTCTACCAGAGGATTGAGATGTTGCCTTGTCTTTTAAACTCTTTGTATGTGTGTCAGGATGCAGTGGAGAAGTATGATGAAGTGATTCACAACCTACAGTTTGCCCAGGAGCTGCACAAGACCCTGGGTGGCCTAACACAAGACGTAAGGATCTCTGTTTGCCATTGCTTATCATAATGCTGGTGTGTGTATATGGGGATGGGTAGAGCAGCTCCGCATGCATTCCTTTTGGTAGACCAGGCGTATTTTCTTATGCATAGTCAGAATAGCACTTCGCCATTCATTTCAAGCGTCTGAGAATAGGTTCATGAGGGCAGAAAGGGTGTGATGTATTGGATTGGAATCCAGCCTCTTGTCAATGGATTGTACACTTGAGGCTTTAGCCCATTGCAAAGCTGAGTTGGGAATTAGCACACTGCTGTTCCATTCTGCTGCTCGAATACCTTGATTGCTTTAATGGTTAGGTTTCACTTTCCCTACTTCTATGTCTAAGTGCATGGCCTGATATGGTGTCAGTAATCTAGACCTATTAGCTGGTCAACAGATCACTTGTTTGTCCAGATTCATGATTAATTATCTTGCATTTTTGCAAGACAACATAATGGACTTTAACTTACACCCATCCAGACATTTGAAATCAACAAAAGCAAGTCGACTGGTCTAGTGATTAGGTGTAGGAGTAGGTTTGCGATTGGTCCGTAGAATCCATCTAACCACCCCCCTTTAGCTGCTAAAGGCCCAGAAGAAGGCGTTGAAGAAGGAGCAGATGGCCAAGCTGGAGGTAGAGAGGAGGAGGCTGTGCGTAGTGCTGCAGGTTAAGTTCCTCCTGCAGACCCTGCTGCAGCACGAGCACATCAGGAAGGACCTCCTCTCTGCCCGCAACCCCCAGCTCCAGGTTGCAGAGCTACAGAGCCTGCTTGAGCTCGCTGAACTACTGGGGGTGAAGAGGGACAAGAATGTGAGGTACTGGGGAATAGATGTGCACACCACACACACACATTCTGTTGGACTTGAGGCACAACAGCATAAGTTACAATGAAACACTCCCACATGTCTGTGTTGATTGAAGACTAGTCTGATCCCCCTCTACTGTGTCCCAGTTTGGAGGAGCAGATGGAGAGCGCAGCCCTGGTCTACCTGGACCTGCTGGAGGGAAAAAATAAACCAGTAGCCGGCACCACCTGTGAGTTTAAACACTACCTGTCCTGTACCTTTTTAAACACCTGCACAAATACTCCATTTACTATGACTGGTATCCTCAACTTGATCTGCCATTTGATGAACTACTTTAGCTGCCATGTTTAAAATGCATGCATTTGAATGTTTGCAGACAAGGTCCTGAAGGCTAAATTGGCTAAGCTGATGGATTGTGGGTACTTTGATTGTGTACCGCCACCTCCGAGCAAGAGTCCCAAGGAAGTAGAGGTTCCGATGACCAAGAAGACTGTCTCTCAAACAGCCAGCCTCTCTGGTAACTCTACAACAGTGCAACTATTCTTATTCAAAAGCTACTTATCAGGCGGGGTATAGAACAATTAATGTATACAACATTTTGTAATTTAGCTGGATATTATTTTGCCTTGCAGCCCTGATGAAGTCAAACAAAAAAGATGTGCCTAGCAGAGAGGTAAGAACCACTAACATGCATTTCCTGGAAGTTTGGTGCCACTACTTCAACGTTCAACCAGTGTTCTCCTTAAGCTATTTACCTGAATGCGCTGTGGATATCGTACTGTTGTGCTGATAGTCTGTGGGTGATGCCAGTTTCTTAACAGACACTACCTGCCTGACACAGACCCCAATGGGTGTCGAGACGCTCCCATTAATCAGAACTGGAAGACCAAGTTCCAGGCCATGAAGGAACAGGAGCCACCGGACTCATGGGATATGGAGTCGGACTCCACTCAGCCTGTAATCCAGAAACCATGGAGAGGGGCGGCTGTGTTAATCTCCAAAGTGCCAGTTACTACCAAGAAACAAAATGGCGAACCCAAACAGGTGAGGTATTCTCTTATACATGAACTTTCAGGGCAGTTGGAATTTGAGACTAGTTGTGATGTCTAATGGCCAAGGTTAACACTGGGATTGGGCTAGCAGATCTTACTTCAGATCAATCATACAACTCAATGACTCTGTTTCCTCAGAGAAGGGCAAAGTCCAAAAGGGAGCGGGACGCCACAGCTGTGAGTAGACTCTTATCCTTGCATCTCTTAGGTTTGATGGACCTGTCCATATTACTCCATCATATTCTAATTTCTAACAGGCACCTCGTGTGGACACCCCTGTGGAGGTGTTCAACTCCCAGTCTTCCTTGCCCAAGGACCCCATCCTGCGCAAGCAGCAGCTGGAGGACCTGATGACCAAGATCAGAGGCTCCTTCAGCTTCATGCAGGTACAGTACTGCTCAGAGGTCATTTCCAGTTGAAAAGCCATGGATCATTTCCAATGTTCCACCTGGGTCGGGTTTACCACGGCACACTGCGCAGAAAACAAAAATAAACGTTTCTTATTGGTTAAGTCCAGGTAGTCCCTCCCTGTTTAAGTCTTCTTTTGTTGGGTGCCAAATAAATACAATCCTGGATTATTCCCCTGTTTCCAGGATTCTCTTCTGGATGGAGAAGGATCACCCACTAACAGCCATCTTAGACTGGGCCGTCGTGCCTCTGGATCCCCCTCTCCACTCGGTAGCCTACCACAACAAAGTTGGTATTTAATTGTCTGACTTCTAGATGAACAGAACACTTAACATATGTTTTTTTTAACCTCTTATTCTCAACAGTACAGAGCAATTCAAGGAGAAGCCCAGTGGACCTTCTCCCCAAAACACTGCATGTAAGATCTGGAGAAGAAGTGTGAAATGGCACCCTATTCTAGTGCACTAATTTTGACCAGGGCTCTGTTTAAACTTATGACTGTTGGAGTAAGTATTTTAAGATAAATATTTTTGTCCTGTCTCCAGTCCACTCCATTGCCTTCTAAACTCCTCCCTGTTGATGACAAACCCAGTCTGACCAATGGAGACAGCGGTTGTCTAGAGAGCTGTGACCTGGACCTAACTACAGAGGACCTGGCTCACGTAATAACCATTTTAAGAACTCCCCTGTCTGTTAAATGAGACCCATTAAAACAATGACATTTTTTTTATTTTAGATCCACAATTGTTATGAAGCTTTTTATAAAGCACAATGGTTGTCCTCTCCAGGATCCATGTCTGCTGCTGTCTGAGAGTGAGACTGCCTGCCCCTCTCCTCCAGCTCCTCCCCTCTACCGTAGGGAGTCCTCCATCTCAATCACCCTGGACGAGAAGACCTCTGCTCGGGTAAAACAACTCTTTCCCTGACCATGTAGGATTGGCAAGCCTAAAGTGCATAGTATTCTGATTTTGTTTGTCTCCCCTGACGGTGTTCCCTCACTGTACCCAGACTCCCATCTCTGAATCTGGGAAGCAGTCCCCCTGTAACGGGGTGGTGCCTCCTTGTACCTCAACCCCAACCTCCACCCAGGGGCAGCCCTTTTCTACCCCTCCCAGCAGACGTACACTCACCATGGCTCCCCCTGTTCCCTTCCAGACCATGCATTCGGTAAGTCTACCCTACCACACTTAACGTGCTCATAGAATAGGCAACAGGCTTTAGTCTGAATACCCATAAGAGACGTTTTAGTGTGAGCCTTGGGTCTGTTTTGTCTCTGAAGGTATTCAAGGTGAACGTCCCCTTACTTCCGACTGGAGACTTTAAATCCGATATAATCCCCTATTCCACCACCAGCACTCAGACCCCACCGGAGTTTGCTTCCCCGGAGGACGAACACCTACAGTCGGGTATGCCAGAGTTGTATTCATTAGGGCAGTCAATAGAAAACGTTTGCAACGTAAAACAAAGATTAGTTTATTAGACAAATCCAGGGGTGTATCCATTACGCAGGAAACAAGAGTTTCAATTGGACAAATTCAGTTGGGTCCCTCCCCGTTTGGTTCTTAAATGGTAAACAGTTTCCATTGCAAGACTTAATGATTTAAATTATTATATAAAATTCTTGCTACCAATAGAATGTTATTTATATGGGGGATACAATCTTCCCAGCTCTGCAGATTTTGCTGTGAAGAGATAGAATCATTAGATCATTTGTTTTGGTTCTGTCCATTTGTAGCTTGTTTTTGGACACAGGTCCAGGAATGGCTAAAGGATTGCAATATTTACCTGGAACTAACCTTGCAGATAGCATTACTGGGTGATCTGAAAAGTCATAGTCCATCAATCAATAATATAATAATACTTTTAGCAAAAATGTTTATTTTTAATTCACAATCTGTAGAAGCAATGAGAATAGAAAGGTTCAGAACTTTTGTAAAACATCACAGTACGGTTGAAATATATATGGCAAATAGAAATCCTATATGGATGGTGTTAAGAGATAGATGGGAGGTGTTGAATGGAGTTGAAGGATGGGACTAATAACAAATAACAACAAATAATAACAAAGATAGCTAATAATGTAAGCATACTGTGTCCATAGACTTAATGAATACACCCCTTGTTTGTCTGTTTTCTTCCTAATGAATACAACCAAGTCTACTCTTATTTCTCTCCCTTGGGCAGTGAACCAGTCTGAATGTCTGGTGGGTAGTGGTGGGCAGATCTTCCTGTCCCCTAGCCAATCAGGTGGCACCATGGGCCGTTCTGGCCAATCATACTACAGAGGATCTGTTAGAGGTATTGCACGTGGTGGCAAGGGGCTGGCACACTCCTACTTTCGCTCTTCTGGTGGGCACAGAGGTATTTATCCTCTTACTTCTCTTCTCCCATCCATCCCTCCATCCTATCCTTCATCCTTTCCCTCTATCCTATCTTGTTCTGCTGATGCATGTCTCCTACTGATTCAGAATGAGCTTCTAAACCTTAATGGATTGGATCAAGTAAACTCCATTCCCTTGCCTCCCAACAGTTTCCACATGACATGATCATAATATTACAAGGTTTTGAGTTAGACATCACAACCCAATTTTATCTGTCCCCTTCCCCTTGGGTTTGACGGGTTTCGGGCTGGTCTGCGCTCCCCAGGAGGAAGCTTCATCCCCCAGGCTCACCTGTTCGGCGCTCGGGTAAGACACTGCTTCCCACATCTGTGTGCACTATCAGATATTGTATGTACATTAGTATAGATTGCTGAAGTGAAAGGTTTTAGAGGTTTTGTCTTGTCTAATGGTGTGTTCTTCACCATTAGGAGACTGGCTACCAGCATGGCTACAGGCGCGGTGGAGGCAATGCAGGACAAAGGCACAATAATAGTGGTAAGTTCACTTCATTCTTCTGGCTTGACACAAAATCAAATCTCTGATTGGTTGGGTATTTTGGTGGCTTACTTAACTGGCTTTTGATTGGTCCTCTGCAATAGGTTGGAGTGACTCCTCCCAGGTGAGCAGCCCAGACCGGGAGGGCAACTACTCCCTGGTAGACTCTGCCCACGGCGACTCGCTGCATGGTTTGGGCATGGACCTCACCCCCCATGCCCCCCACACCCTGATGCACGTACCCATGTACCCGCTCCCCCAGCATCCCCAGCCCCTCCGCGTGGCCTTCACAGCAGCCCGCACCGCCAACTACACCCCGGGCACCCTGGACCAGCCCATCGCCTTCGACCAGCTCCACAGCAACCTGGGGGAAATGTTCAACACCAATGTGGGTCGTTTCACCTGCCCAGCCAATGGCACCTACGTCTTCCTCTTCCACATCCTCAAGCTGGCGGTCAACGTGCCACTCTACGTCAACTTGATGCGCAATGACGAGGTGATGGTGTCTGCGTACGCCAACGACGGGGCTCCGGACCACGAGACGGCCAGCAACCACTCCATCCTGCAGCTGTACCAGGGAGACCAGGTGTGGCTGCGGCTGCACCGCGGCTCCATCTATGGCAGCAGCTGGAAGTACAGCACATTCTCTGGCTTCCTGCTCTACCAGGACTGAGCTAGTGTGGCTTCTTGAGCCAACATGGAGGATACAGGTGGAGGAGAGAATATTGCTTTGCACTAAAAAGGAGAAATGGATATTTTCCATTTCATGTGGTCAGACTGCATACCCACCCAGTGCTTGCTTCATTGCCAACCCCAGTCCTTGAGTGTATGGGGTGTGTTCAATGTTCAAACCTTTCAGGATCACCCTTTTGTTTACCCTGTAAATTGCAACCAGTAACTACTTCCGGGGCAGAGGGGAAGACTTCCTGCTGGCTTGACCTTTCATGACCCATGAATGTGGGATTTTTGGTTGTGGTGCTTAGAGACCGACATTCCAATTTCTGACTAAACTGTTAGATTGTGAGTAGTTGTTACATTGACCATAAAAGCTGCCTCTACTATACATTACTGCTGCTGTATTGGGTGTCACAATGTAGTTCTAGTAGCAGGTCCGCTTTAGTTACAATGTGTCTGATCTCTAAGACCTTAAATGAAATGTTATGAATTGGTGGCTTTTTGTTTGTTTTTCAGTATGAACGACTGAGTAAATTAATTGAATGGCTAGTAATGTATGGTTGGCGAAATATGAATTATAATGGACTGTACTTGACAATGCTAAGCACTTTAAATGCATTCTGTACTGCCTTGCTGTGTGGGGTGATCGGGGTAAAATGGTTGGGTGGGGGGTATGGCGTCCGATTCTGAACACTAAAGACCATATTGTCTATGGAGATGTGATTCCTCAATGTGCCTAAATAAAAAATAATATATCAGCAGTTGAAAAGAGTTGTGCCTTCTGTTTCTGTATGTAGCGGTTGGTCCATCCATTAATCAGCAGTAGGCTATGGCATTTTATCTCAATTGATACAGTAAATGCATTTTAGATGCTGTACAGTTCTACTCAACGACCTGAATCTTCTTGAAGTGTATAGTCCATGCGGAAAGGCAAGTGTATTAGTTTATTTTTCCAAAGGATATATTATCATCTCTGCATGATTTTTGTGAAATTATATCACTCTTTACATTAGCACCTCAGCCTACAAACTACAGTGAACATATTACTAAGTAGAGTAGTTGGCTATTCCTTCAGGTGTAATTACGCCGTTAAACTAATGTAAAATCTTAGGCTAGTGACAGAGGGATACTAGCAAATGGTATGAAATACAGCACAAGTGTGTAACGTCACTAGCATATCCCATGAACACTGAAAGTACAATGGCTTTGGTGAACTCTTTCAGTACTTCAGAGGAAGAGGCCAAGCGACAGGGACAACTGGGCCCAAAATCTGTCTTCTGTAGCAGGTGGCTTTTTTATTTTACGTTCACCAAGCAAGGTGTTTTTGTGTGGTCAATGAGTGTCAAATTTGAAGTTGTGCCTGTTCACACAAGTATCTGCCCTCTCGTTGGCTAGAATGGTCCAACGTGATCTTGCCGCCTTCCATTTTAAAAAAAACGTCTTTCCATTGTTAGAGCGACCGCTTGAGTATCTGGTTAATATAATGGATGATCTGTGCTTGAATAGACATTCTTCAAACTTGTCTTATTTCAGTGCATTTATATGGTGTTGAAGTACATTACATTGTAGTGTATTTGTTATACTAAATCACATTTTAGAGGGTATGAATAACTTGACATTAACACACTTCTGTTGTACTTTCAACTACTTGAGAATATCTGTGTCACTACAATACATTTTAAAAGTGTATAGAGTACATCTCAAATGCTGGTTGTGTTCCCATGCTCACACGTTGATGCATTCCAGACTAAGGAAATTACCTAACATTTTAGGCAGTTAAATGTAACAAAACAAAATGCAATCTATTATGTTTTTTTAACACTATAATTTGTTTACTAGCATGATCGCTCTACTGTTAGTTTATGGTTGACGCAACTTGTTGGCCATTAGCCAACCAGCGTTTCTCAACAAGTTCAAAGCACATGAGTGCATCCAACTGGTAATTACCGCCTTCCCACTTGGTTATAAACGCTGCATAACATATAGTTTTTGTTCCCCTGCTTAGACATTGCATGCATCAACCAATGGTTGCGCGCCACGTCTTCAACTGTGCCATCGACTGACAGATTGCTATAACATAGCGGATACGTAAAATACCTATCCAGGCATTGTAAGATCTGGCATGCGTCAGCAACATCTGGGCAGAGGAACGTGCCCAAAATGTGGCACGCTGACACATAAAATACCTATCCAGGCATTGAAAGATCTGCCAGTCATCAGCAAAGTCTAAACAGAGGTAGGCGCCCGTTGCATGCATCAACCAATGGTTGCGTGCCATGTCATCAACTGTGCCGTTGGGCAGCAGATTGCTGTAACATGGTTCGCTGATACGTAAAATACCTATCTAGGCGTTGTAAGATCTGGCATGCGTCAGCGATGTTTGAGCAGGGGAACACGGCCAAGTACTACAGAAAACTCCCACTTCCCCCCTACCCTGGAGGAGAGCCTGCTCCTTATTGGCCACCACACAGGCGGCCATTCCTATAAAGGGTGCTCACCTGCATTCATCAGCCCTCTTTCCACCAACAAAACCAGTCCTACAGATGCTTGTATACTGTAAGTAATGTATTATTGTGGTGGCCAATGTTAAGTATATCCCTATTGTAAATGTATATGATGTTTGTAACAGAACCTGGGCTAGCAGACACTAGCTAGCCCTCCAACCCGGCCTTGCAGAATTGGCGTGAGTAAGATGAAAAGCTAGCCAGCCAGGTAAATTAGCCCCTAGTTGTTGGATATCTAATCTCAATATGAAGTGTCCCAGTTCAGTTATTGTTTCCCTGGAGCAGGTCTCCTGGGGCCCCAGATTTGCAAGGGGGCCAAGCCTACAGCAAATGGGGAGGTGTGGAGATGGCGGCTGCTAAGATCAATACTATGCTGATGGTTCCTCTTGCCATTACCTGATAAGGTGAACAAGGGTTAATGTAACTTTCTCTTCCTCCGTCCTGGTCCTGAGGAACCACTGTGCAGGCTTTTGATCCAGCCCTAAGGGTCACCTATTCATTGAGACTCAAACTACAGACTAGATTTTGTTCATACTTGTGTTAGAAAACAGTCATTATTGTCAACCACAAAATAGTGTACAAAACATTAGGAACACCTTCCTAATATTGAGTTGCACCCCCTTTTGCCATCAGAACAGCTTCAATTCGTTGGGGCATGGACTACAAGATGTCAAAAGCGTTCCACAGGGATGCTGGCCCATGTTGACTCCAATGCTTCCAACCATTGTCAAGTTGGTTGGATGTCCTTTGGGTGGTAACCCATTCTTGATATACACAGGAAACTGTAGCGTGTGAAAAACCCAGCAGTGTTGCAGTTCTTCACACACACAAACCGGTGTGCCTGGCACCTACCATACCCCATTCAAAGGCACTTAAATATTTTGTCTTGCCCATTCACCCTCTGAATGGTACACACTACACAATCCATGTATCAAGGCTTAGAAATCCTCCTTTAACCTGTCTCCGCTCCTTCATCTACACTGATAGAAGTGGATTTTTACAGGTGACATCAATCAGGGATCATAGCTTTCACCTGGTCAGTCTGTCAAGGACATGTTCCTAATGTTTTGTACACTCAGTGTATGTAGCCAAGTCCCATTGCTGGCGGTAATAGGTGAGGCCAGGTGATACCATGTTGACCTCAGATACCACCTCCTATAGTAAAACAGCAGAGGGAACAACTCAAACACACCAGGGTTACTGCTGCTGCTCAAACACTTCTCTAGGCAGCCAGGCTCTAACTCAGTGCTGTTCCTGGGGACTGTGCAGGCTTTTGTTCCAGCCCAGTACTAACAAACCTGACTCAACTGATCAGGGGCTTTAATAGTCCACTGGGCAAGAACTAAAGCCTGGATGGTTTCCCAGGAGTGTCTAACACTGTAACCACATGATATTGTTTGAATATGATATAAGCGCTTTAGTGTATGTATAATTAACAAAAATATAAATGCAACAATTTCTACGATTTTACGGAGTTAGATCATATAAGGAAATCAGTCAATTGAAATAAATTCATTAAGCCCTAATCTATGGCTTTCACATGACTGTGCTGGGGCCTGTGAGGTCATAGGCCCCCCCACTTGGGAGCCAGGCCTAGCCAATCAGAATGAGTTTTCCCCACAAAAGGGCTTTATTACAGACAGATCTAAGCTGTCCGGGTGGCTGGTCTCAGACGATCCCGCAGGTGATGAAGCCGGATGTGGAGGTCCTGGGCTGGCGTGGCTACACGTGGTCTGCGGTTGTGAGGCCGGTTGGACGTACTGCCAAATTCTCTAAAACGACGTTGGAGGCGACTTATTGTAGAGAAATTATCATTACATTCTCTGGCAATTGCTCTGGTGGACATTCCTGCAGTCAGCATGCCAATTGCACGCTCACTCAATACTTGAGACTTCTGTGGCTTTGTGTGACAAAACTGCACATTTTAGAGTGGCCTTTTATTGTCATCAGCACAAGGTGCACCTGTGTAATGATCATGCTGTTTAATCAGTTCTTGAAATGCCACACCTGTCAGGTGGATGGATTATCTTGGCAAAGGACAAATGCTCACTAACAGGGATGTAAACAAATTTGTGCACAACATTTGAGAGAAATAAGCTATTTGTCTGTATGGAACATTTCTGGGATCTTTTATTTCAGCTCGTTTTTTATCAGCATTTTTGTTCAGTTTATGTAGCCTTAGAAATAAGGTTTATGAAATCAATAACATTAATATATTGGCCATCTCTGAGCCTCACTAAGATAATTCCTTTGATACAGCAGTAGCAATACAGGGATATAACATCTACAGAAGAGACAGGAATGCTATGGTTGAGTTGTTGTATATTTTCAGAGCCATATTTCTGTAAAGCTTAGAAGATCTAATGCTGTTGAAGTCTTGTGGTTGCACGTTCAAATGCCTCATCTAAAGCCTTTTCTTTTGCGGTGTTGCTATAGGCTACCTAGTGCTAACATTATCTGGATAATATGTGTGCAATAGTTGATAATGCAA